CGGACTGAAGGGTCCCAGGTTCAATTCTGGTCAAGGGCATGTACCTTGGTTGTGGGCACATCCCCAGTGGGTGGTGTGCAGGAGGCAGCTGATCGATGTTTCTCTCTCATTGATGTTTCTGACTCTCTATCTCTCTCCCTTCCTCTCTGTAAAAAATCAATAAAATATATTTTTTTAAAAAAAAGAGAGAGGCAAGGTTACCTGCCAGGGCTCACATAACAAATGACCCCCCACATCCAAGTCCAGAGCTCCCTACCATGTGGTACACTATGGGTGCCAGGCTCACCTATTCTGAGCCCCTGGCATGAACACCGTGTACCATGAATTATACTGGAAACAGTTGTTGTTCTTCCTTGTGATAACTGGTGCCCTGACCTGTGTTCCAGAGAGTTCTCTGTACATGTCACCCTACTCCATGGAACTCAGAGACTACACCTGGACATCACTGCCTGTTTTGTCTTATTGGAACAACTGTGTGCCTCTGTGTTAGGTGGAGTGAAGAGTGAGGACTCCTGGAAGAACTTGAATCTTATGGAGGCAGAGGAAGAAGCAAATGCAAAATTCTACCATGATCTGATTATCTAAAATGCCAAGTCACAGCCTGCAGAGAAACTCAGATCAGAGCTGGTCTGTTTGAAACCAAACATATAACTTCACATTTGCCCCTGCTTTTGCAGGTCTCATGCTTCAGACCTGATCCTAGCAATTTTTTTTCTTTCATTTCTATCGACCAAGATAATCAGTAGTAGCTTTCGCCCATGTATAGCAACATACCTTCACTGCCTTACCCCAGGACAAGTCATCTCTTTGGCCCTTTGTCAGAGTCTGAAGAGACTTTGATCACTTGCTATTCCTCAGAACATCATGTCCGTCCGTCACACTGATAACATTGTGGGAGCTGACAGTAAGGAACGAAAACAGCAGATATCCGAGGTGCTTTATCATGTGCATTCCTGAGAATGGGTGATGCATCTGATAATAGTTCAGGACTTGCCATATTGGTGAAATTTCTAGAGAGCCATTAGTCTGGGGCATGTATGGATAGTCCCTTTGAGGCAGCAGACAAGTTGCTGTACCTGTACTGTCCACCATGAAGAAAGACACAATGCTTGCTAGAGCTTTCTGGATTTTGGAGAGAACAAAATCCACTTTGGGGCATTTTCCTCTTGTCTATGTAAACTCAGTAGACATAGACAAGGGGATGCAAACTCAATGCTAGTTTGAGTGAGACTCAGAAGTTAAATCTTTGTCAGTTTTGTCTATCTTTTCAAAAATTAAACTTTTGGCTTTACTGGTTTTCTTATTGTTTTTCTATTTTGTTTGTCTCTGCTTAATATTTATCACTTTTTTCTTTCTGCTAGTTTTGGGTTTAATTTGTTCTTTTTCTAGTTCAAATTGTAAAGTTAAGTTGTTCATTTGAGATCTTTCTTGTTTTTATTTACTTATTTATTTTTAAAAATAGGTTTTTATTGATTTTAGAAAGAGGAAGGAAGAGGGAGAGAAAAATATCAATGATGAGAGAGAATCATCTATTTACTGCCTTCTGCATGCTTCCTACTGGGACGAAACCCCCAACCCAGGCATCATACCATGACCTCCTGGTTCATAGGTCAATGCTCAGCCACTGAGCCACACCAGCCGGGCTCGATCTTTCTTGTTTTTAAATGTTAGAATTTATAGATATAAATTTTCCTGTTAGCACTGCTGTTGCTGTGTCATTTCTGTTTGCATTTATCTGTAAATACTTTCTAATTTTCCTTGTGATTTCTTCTTTGATCCATTGGCTGTTTAATAATGTGTTGTTTAATTTCAATAAATTTGTACATTTTACATCCATTATTGATTTCTACCATTGTGGTTGGATGACATCTATCTTTTAAAATCTACTGAGACTTAATTTGTGACCTAAAAAATGGCCTTTCCTTGAAAATGTCCCATATGCAGTTGAGAACAATGTGTGTTCTGTTGTTAAGTTGATTATTTTGTATATGTCTATTAAATCTAGTTGTTTTATTTTGTTAGTCCTCTATTTCCTTACTTAACTTCTGTCTAGTTATTCTACCTATTATTGAAAGCAGGTATCGAAGTCCCCAGTTATTTATTGTAGAACTGTCAATTTCTCACTTCAATTCTGTCAGTTTTTGTTTCACATATTTTGATGATTGTCATTAGTGCACAAGTATTTATAATTGTTACTAGAGGCCTGGTGCACAAAATTCGTGCACTTGGGGAGGGGCATCCCTCAGCCTGGCCTGCGCCCTCTCGCAGTCCAGGAGCCCTTGGGGGATGTCCAACTGCCAAGGAGGTGGGAAAGGCTCCCACCACTGCCGCTGCACTTGCCAGCCATGAGCCCAGCTCCTGCACTGAGTGTCTGCCCCCTGGTAGTCAGTGCGCATCATAGCGACCAGTCGTTCTGTCGATTTGCATATTAGCCTTTTACTATATAGGATATCTTCTTGCCATATTGAACTGAACCTTTTATTAAGATAGAGTGTTCTTTTTTGTCTCTTGTAACTTAATATATATATATATACACACACACACACATATATATATATTTGATTTTAGAGAAAGAGGAAGGGAGAGGAATGAGAATCATTGATCAGCTGCCTCCTGCACAACCCCTAATGGGGATTGAGCCCACAACCCAGGCATGTACCCTGACTGGGAATCAAACTGGTGACCTCTTGGTGCAGGGCATGATGCTCCAACAAACTGAGCCACTAGGCCAGGGTATTTGCCAATCTCTTTTGATTGGAGAATTTAATCTATTTATACTTAAAGTAATTGCTAATAAGGAGGGACTTACTTCTGCCATTTTGTTATTTGTTTTCTATGTGCCCTATAGCTTTTTTTATTAGATGGATATACACAAAAGTGTTAGCACAGGGTGACAAAATTAACAAGGACTGTTATTATCCCCACTTTGCAAATGAGAAAATTGAGGCACAGACTGGATAAGCAACTTCCCAAAGTAAGTGGAAGCTAGGATTTGAAGCCAGATTAAGTCTGTTATAAATCTCCATGTTACATGACATTTTCCAAGTTCTCTTGGTAGAGCTCTCTCTTTTCACCAGCACAAAAGCTGAGAGTCGTTGATAATGTAGTGTTAGGTTGATGTCAGCAGTGGAGAAATTAATCTAGAGATGGATTATTTACAAAAGTCATCACACAAATGTTGGAGGAAAATAGATATACAGATCCTCCCCCACCTCCACAATCACCCAGACTTCC